AGACATACCGCGTCTATAGGTAAAGTAGAACTGTAGACATACTGCGTCTGTAGGTAAAGTAGGACTGTAGACATACTACGTCTGTAGGTAAAGTAGGCCTGTAGACATACTGCGTCTGTAGGTAAAGTAGGACTGTAGACATACTGCCTCTGTAGGTAAAGTAGGACTGTAGACATACCGCGTCTGTAGGTAAAGTAGGACTGTAGACATACTACGACTGTAGGTAAAGTAGGACTGTAGACATACTGCGTCTGTAGGTAAAGTAGGACTGTAGACATACTACGTCTGTAGGTAAAGTAGGACTGTAGACATACTGCGTCTGTATGTAAAGTAGGACTGTAGACATACTGCGTCTGTAGGTAAAGTATGACTGTAGACATACCGCGTCTGTAGTAAAGTAGGACTGTAGACATACTACGTCTGTAGGTTAAGTAGGACTGTAGACATACCGCGTCTGTAGGTAAAGAAGGACTGTAGACATACCGCGTCTATAGGTAAAGTAGGACTGTAGACATACTGCGACTGTAGGTAAAGTAGGAATGTAGACATACCGCGTCTGTAGGTAAAGTAGGACTGTAGACATACTACGTCTGTAGGTAAAGTAGGACTGTAGACATACCGCGTCTGTAGTAAAGTAGGACTGTAGACATTCTACGACTGTAGGTAAAGTAGGACTGTAGACATTCTACGACTGTAGGTAAAGTAGGACTGTAGACATACTACGACTGTAGGTAAAGTAGGACTGTAGACATACTGCGTCTGTAGGTAAAGTAGGACTGTAGACATACAGCGTCTGTAGGTAAAGTAGGACTGTAGACATACTACGACTGTAGGTAAAGTAGGACTGTAGACACACTGCGTCTGTAGGTAAAGTAGGACTGTAGACATACTACGACTGTAGGTAAAGTAGGACTGTAGACATACCGCGTCTATAGGTAAAGTAGGACTGTAGACATACCGCGTCTGTAGGTAAAGTAGGAATGTAGACATACTGCGTCTGTAGGTAAAGTAGGACTGTAGACATACCGCGTGTGTAGGTAAAGTAGGACTGTAGACATACTGCGTCTGTAGTAAAGTAGGACTGTAGACATTCTACGACTGTAGGTAAAGTAGGACTGTAGACATACTGCGACTGTAGGTAAAGTAGGACTGTAGACATACTGCGTCTGTAGGTAAAGTAGGACTGTACACATACTGCGACTGTAGGTAAAGTAGGACTGTAGACATACTACGACTGTAGGTAAAGTAGGACTGTAGACATACTGCGACTGTAGGTAAAGTAGGACTGTAGACATACTGCGTCTGTAGGTAAAGTAGGACTGTACACATACTGCGACTGTAGGTAAAGTAGGACTGTAGACATACCGCGTCTGTAGGTAAAGTGGGACTATAGACATACTGCGTCTGTAGGTAAAGTAGGACTGTAGACATACCGCGTCTGTAGGTAAAGTAGGAGTGTAGACATACTGCGTCTGTAGGTAAAGTAGGACTGTAGACACACTGCATCTGTAGGTAAAGTAGGACTGTAGACATACCGCGTCTGTAGGTAAAGTAGGAGTGTAGACATACTGCGTATGTAGGTAAAGTAGGACTGTAGACATACTGCGTCTGTAGGTAAAGTAGGACTGTAGACATACTGCGTCTGTAGGTAAAGTAGGCCTGTAGACATACTGCGTCTGTAGGTAAAGTAGGACTGTAGACATACTGCCTCTGTAGGTAAAGTAGGACTGTAGACATACTGCGTCTGTAGGTAAAGTAGGCCTGTAGACATACTACGTCTGTAGGTAAAGTAGGACTGTAGACATACTGCGTCTGTAGGTAAAGTAGGACTGTAGACATACTGCCTCTGTAGGTAAAGTAGGCCTGTAGACATACTGCGTCTGTAGGTAAAGTAGGCCTGTAGACATACTGCGTCTGTAGGTAAAGTAGGACTGTAGACATACTGCCTCTGTAGGTAAAGTAGGACTGTAGACATACTACGTCTGTAGGTAAAGTAGGCCTGTAGACATACTGCGTCTGTAGGTAAAGTAGGACTGTAGACATACTGCCTCTGTAGGTAAAGTAGGACTGTAGACATACTGCGTCTGTAGGTAAAGTAGGCCTGTAGACATACTACGTCTGTAGGTAAAGTAGGACTGTAGACATACTGCGTCTGTAAGTAAAGTAAGACTGTAGACATACTACGACTGTAGGTAAAGTAGGACTGTAGACATACTACGACTGTAGGTAAAGTAGGAATGTAGACATACTGCGTCTGTAGGTAAAGTAGGACTGTAGACATACTGCGTCTGTAGGTAAAGTAGGACTGTAGACATACTACGACTGTAGGTAAAGTAGGACTGTAGATATACTACGACTGTTGGTAAAGTAGGACTGTAGACATACTGCGTCTGTAGGTAAAGTAGGACTGTAGACATACCGCGTCTGTAGGTAAAGTAGGACTGTAGACATACTGCGTCTGTAGGTAAAGTAGGACTGTAGACATACTGCGTCTGTAGTAAAGTAGGACTGTAGACATACTGCGTCTGTAGGTAAAGTAGGACTGTAGACATACTGCGTCTGTAGTAAAGTAGGACTGTAGACATACTACGTCTGTAGGTAAAGTAGGACTGTAGACATACTACGACTGTAGGTAAAGTAGGACTGTAGACATACCGCGTCTGTAGGTAAAGTAGGACTGTAGACATACTACGACTGTAGGTAAAGTAGGACTGTAGACATTCTACGACTGTAGGTAAAGTATGACTGTAGACATACCGCGTCTGTAGGTAAAGTAGGACTGTAGACATACTACGACTGTAGGTAAAGTAGGACTGTAGACATACTACGACTGTAGGTAAAGTAGGACTGTAGAGATACCGCGTCTGTAGGTAAAGTAGGACTGTAGACATACCGCGTCTGTAGGTAAAGTAGGACTGTAGACATACTACGACTGTAGTAAAGTAGGACTGTAGACATACTACGACTGTAGGTAAAGTAGGACTGTAGACACACTGCGTCTGTAGGTAAAGTAGGACTGTAGACATACTACGTCTGTAGGTAAAGTAGGACTGTAGACATACTACGACTGTAGGTAAAGTAGGACTGTAGAGATACCGCGTCTGTAGTAAAGTAGGACTGTAGACATACCGCGTCTGTAGGTAAAGTAGGACTGTAGACATACTACGACTGTAGGTAAAGTAGGACTGTAGACATACTACGACTGTAGGTAAAGTAGGACTGTAGAGATACCGCGTCTGTAGGTAAAGTAGGACTGTAGACATACCGCGTCTGTAGGTAAAGTAGGACTGTAGACATACTACGACTGTAGTAAAGTAGGACTGTAGACATACTACGACTGTAGGTAAAGTAGGACTGTAGACATACCGCGACTGTAGGGAAATTAGGACTGTAGACATACCGCGTCTGTAGGTAAAGTAGGACTGTAGACATACTACGACTGTAGGTAAAGTAGGACTGTAGACATACTACGACTGTAGGTAAAGTAGAACTGTAGACATTCTACGACTGTAGGTAAAGTAGGACTGTAGACATTCTACGACTGTAGGTAAAGAAGGACTGTAGACATACTGCGCCTGTAGGTAAAGTAGGACTGTAGACATACTGCGTCTGTAGTAAAGTAGGACTGCAGACATACTGCGTCTGTAGGTAAAGTAGGACTGTAGACACACTGCGTCTGTAGGTAAAGTAGGACTGTAGACATACCGCGACTGTAGGTAAAGTAGGACTGTAGACATACTGCGTCTGTAGGTAAAGTAGGACTGTAGACATACTGCCTCTGTAGTAAAGTAGGACTGTAGACATACTGCGTCTGTAGGTAAAGTAGGACTGTAGACATACAGCCTCTGTAGTAAAGTAGGACTGTAGACATACTGCGTCTGTAGGTAAAGTAGGACTGTAGACATACTGCGTCTGTAGGTAAAGTAGGACTGTAGACACACTGCGTCTGTAGGTAAAGTAGGACTGTAGACACACTGCGTCTGTAGGTAAAGTAGGACTGTAGACACACTGCGTCTGTAGGTAAACTAGGATTGTAGACGTTCTACGACTGTAGGGAAACTAGGATTGTAGACACACTGCCTCTTTATAGGTGTCATATGGTGCTTGATTAATGATTACGCTGCCAACGCTAAAGTAACGCTTCATCCATCCACAGATGAACTGACGAGTGGAATTTTAAAGCGTGAGTAAATGCACACACGTGAATTCGATAATATAGATAAATAGACAGACTGATAGCATTAAGGCGCACTGACAAAGATGGTCCAAATGATAGTTTACGGATTTATTAAAACTAGACAGTAACCACCAAGCAAAAGCGTTATGATTAGTAGTAAGCAAATAAAAGTTGGACTCAAACAGCGTGAGTACGTCTAATGCTACCATCACACCAAAGTAGTTCTATCCCGTTCTACCCCGTTCTAAACAAAATACTAGGACGGGCTCTATCACGGTAGAACGCGTAGTTTGGCGAAAAATACGATGCTAGTTCGTTCATAAGCAGTCCTCAATACGTCTGTCTCGTTCTTAGCCAGTCTGCAGTCCGTTTTTATCCAGTTCAGATCGTGTAAAAGTGCCCCGTTCACCTCATCCCGACAACGTTTCGAAGCAGTTCGAGCACGTCCGTAGCTGTTCTGAACCCGTTCTTAACCAGTTCAACCTCGTTCTACCCCGTTCAAAATACGTCCAAGCCAGTCCTAACTAATTCTTAACCCGACCAACTCGTTCGCAGTACGTCCTCATCGCGTCCCAAGTGTGTGTGTATTCGCGTCCTGGCGCAACTCCTATGGATACCGAGCGCGTTGTAGCCAGTCTTCATTCAATTTCAGGGCTCCGAGCTGTACACATTTTTAAAAAAAATTTTTTGATGCATAAAAGTTTATTTCAAAACATCCATGCTGCCAGTTTATTCCTCTGGGGTTTCCATTTCTACACTGTCAATCTTCTCAATGACAGTGTGGGGATGACTTCTCTCAACTGTGCACCCAACTGACTGACAGGTTCCCAGAACCGCTATTCACGAAGTATGTGTGAGGGCTGTCGGTGGAGAATTCGAAGTTCCAGCCACTTCTTCCCTTGCCCCCAAAATTGGTCCCCTCGGTTTGTCTCCCAAGAAGATTGGTGATGACATTGCCAAGAACACCACCGAGTGGAAGGGACTGAAGATCACTGTGATGCTGATCATCCAGAACCGACAGGCCAAGGTCGAGGTTGTAGCTAGTGCTGCATCCCTCATCATCAAGGCCCTCAAGGAGCCCCCAAGGGACAGGAAGAAGGTCAAACACGTGAAGCATTCTGGCAACATCACAATGGATGATGTCTTCAAGATTGCCAGACAAATGAGGCCAAGGAGTATGGCAAAGTCTTTCTCCGGAACTGTCAAAGAGCTGTACACATCATGCCTCCAAAGAGAAGTCGACCCGGTCGGTGTGCACACGTACTGAAATTTATGTCCGACTGCACGGCGTCGTAACACGTCCTTAGTAGGTTCGAAGTACGACAATTCCGTTCGAAGTACGGCAATTCCGTTCGTTATACGTCTTTCTCGTTTTAAGTACGTTGTCAATCCAACTAATTGCAGAACGGGATGGACGGAAATTTTTTTTGAGCAGACTCAAAGTTCTAGAGCAACCTCCCCGTCCGAGCCCGTCCATGACGTTCGTAAAAAGACTGTCAATAGTTGCTACTACGTCCACTACGTTCATACACAGTTGGAGCCCGTTCGACATTTTCACGAACGTATTGAGAACTAGTTTGGTGTGATGGGGGTACAACAGGCAATACACAACCCGACCTAAATATAGGGTGTCGACCCGAAGTGTCTTAAATCTCAAATAAATGTTATTGTTGTTGTTGTTTGTTGTTTAACGCCGCACTCAGCAATATTCCAGCTATATGACGGCGGTCTGTAAATAATCGAGTCTGGACCAGACCGGATTTATGTAATTGGGATCGATGGCATGCATCAACCAAGTCAGCGAGCCTGACCACCCGATCCCGTTAGTCGCCTCTTACGACAAGCATAGTCGTCTCTTATGACAAAGTCCTAAAATAGAGGTAACTTTGAGATCAGATAGTTCGGTGCTGGTCACTTGTGCACTCAAGTATTTTCAACAGTTCGGTGTCGATTGGGGATAATTGCACCAAGTACCTTCCACAGTTCCGTAGTGAGTAAAGAAAACAAGACACACATATATTTATTATACGAATTGCCACCGTATAAATAAATGACATCACGTACAAGTGACTACTACTTGATTTACGTAGGGTGGTGTTTTAGACGACAGCAGCCATCTTGTTCAACCAATTTTATCATATGGCTCAGTTATTTTTGGCAATCGAGAATTCAGTTGTATAAACGCAGGTCAAAAAAAAAGCTTGCCGTTTCTTTCTCGGGGTGGGTAAATATACTCCAAATTTAGCTGTCCGGGGCGAGATGGGTTGGCTTGCTCAGCTCACTAAACAGAAAATAGAAGTTTTCCGATTTTGGAGAAAGATAAACTCTGTTCCGCCATCTAGACTTGTTTCACAGATTCGAAATTGGTCTCTTACCTTCCGCAAATCATGGGATAAGACAGTTAATGCAATGTTTATATCACTTTATTTTCCATCTATGGATTTGTTGAATTTCTCTATTAGTGAATTCCATCTAATCACACGCACTTTGAGATGTAATGACGCCGAGTGTTGGTCACGTGATTTATGGAATGACACTGGTCATGAACATGGGAATAAGTTGAGGACTTTTAGACTCTTTAGGAATACTCTAAATACGTCGACCTATGTCCGCTCTGTTTTAGACAGACAGCAACGTAGTACCTTGGCAAAACTACGCTGCAGTTCTCTCCCTTTTGGAGGGAGGTTGAAGTTGGTCGGTACTCCCGTCCAAAGACACCACTACACCTCCGTTTATGTAGGTTATGTGACCGCCAGTGTGTCGAACACGAAGTACATTTCCTCACAGAATGTGAATACAACTCTGATCTACGATATGACTATTCTCATTTGTTTCCTCCATTACATACTTGTCTAAGAAGTTTAACCCTAGAAGACCATATATATGTTATGCAGAATGATAGTCTAGCTATTCCCCTAGCCGCAGTTGTTACTGCTATGTATAAAAGAAGAATATTTCAACTTTCATTGTAAATAGTGCACTTCTGATCCATAAGTAATTGTTATTCTTCCTTATAGGATTTAACCACATGTTTATAAAAGTCTAAATATAGTCAGTTTGAATGGTATTCTTCCTTAAAGGATTCCTCAACAGTTACAAAAGACATTAACAATGGGACATTTTCAAATAAGTATTTATAAAATAGTTCTGTTACCACACGTCCGTATATATTTTGCATTTGTATCTCACTAAACGATAATAGTATAATCTCTTTACATAAAACTGAGTTATTTTTGATCTCTCGTGTCTCATAGGCAAACTGGCCGGGTGGTATATTTTATATGTTGTCATGTACTTTGGATGTATGTTTTTTATTCTGCGTGACACGCAAATAAAATATTAGCTTATCTTTTATCTTATCTTATCTTATCTTATCATATTTATTGTTGATTGTGAATATCAGTCGAAAAGCGTACATGTTAGTGATCACGTGACAGAACGCACACCGGGACCGAGTGGTAGGTCGGTGCGGAGCCCCACTCTGTCACACAGAAGAAGAAGAAGAAGAAGAAGAAGAAGAAGAAGAAGAATAATATTTTATTATAGTGTCACCCGCTGTACATATAAAATGACAAGGCAAGAATGTAAAAATTCAGCGGCCGGCCAAAATGGCCTACGAGACACTAAAAGACTCATAAAAACAATATTTTATATTTGTACACACCACATTTAATAGTAATTATGAAAATAATATTCATAATATTATCCCCCATACAAACATCCTATATACACACAACCACATCCATTCCCACATCCAGGCCTTCACTCGCAGCAGCTTACGCAAACCACGGAAACACACCCGCACATTCAGACACATCCAAATCCTCATTGACATCAGTTCAATCACATCCGAACCCTCGCTCGAACCCTCAGCGTCACACATTACCCTCACACACACACTTTGTCTTAAACACACCCTCACCTGTATCCATTCCCGCATCCACACCAACTCCCATATCCGCACCATCAACCACGTCCTCACTCGCATCCACATCCCTCCCCGCCTCCACACAAAAAGCAGCACCAACCACGCACAAAGACACCAACAAAGTAACAATCCCCCGCCGCATACACACACTCCCCCCCCCCCCCCCCCCCCCCCCCCCCCGCCACACATTTAGGCAGGAAGTCGGACGTCGCTTCTTCATCGTCGACGTAGTGGTTTGTGGGGCGACGGCCGTGGCGGACGCCACGACTAGCTGTATAATCCGCCCGATCTGTCGATGACCTGGGCCCGTCACCCTGATTGACCATGTCAGTCAGGTTTTGTAGATAGAGGTATTACATAACGTAGGGCAAGCTAGGTCAGTGACACACATGTATTATATATATATATATAGGTAAGATCCTGCGACGAGAACTAACTGACATTTATAGATAGCGCTGGGTGTTAAAGGTCATGACCAGATGGAGCTCAGATGGGTTACGCCGAGTGTTTGCTGAATATATTAAACAGACAAAGGAGGTAAAATTTCGGCGCACGTTTTGAAAAGTATTGATATGGTTTGCACTACGACACATGCCTTAAGACAGCCTCCGTGGTCTACTGGTAGAGCGTCTGCCCCGGGAGTGGAAAGTCCGGGGTTCGATCCCCAATCTGGGTCTCGATCCCAGATCCGGGGTCACATCAAAAGAGGTTACTTTATCTCACATTGATCTTTATTTTTTGTTTTACTTATAATCTTGATTAGGAGCAAAGAAATGCCGACAAAGCCATAACTTAACTGAGTATGCTAATTGATTTGTTAATCTCTTCTATTCCCTTCACATTTACGAGGGGGCACGGGTGGCCCAGTCGTCTAAGGCGCCACAATTCGCTGTGCAGAGATGCGTCCCTTGGGCAGGCCAGAAACCTATGATTGTGGGTTCGAATCCCGGTTCGCCCCGATTATGTTTCTAGGTTTGTCAGCACCATACCCATGCTCGTGGGTTTCACCGAAGTGGTAAACGTCTGAGACCTGCATCACTTCGGGCTTTCCTCCCACATTAAGCTGACACGCCGCGATATAACTGGAATACTGTTAAAAGCGGTGTTAAACCCAACTCACTCACTCACTCACATTTACGACAGTTAGGTCCTGGGTACTGATGCGCGAAACTGGCCTTTTTTGATATTTCGACCACGAACCACCGCCGATGGTAGACACCTGATCTAAATACAGTCAATGGCTGGTTGCATATGATTATGTCGGATAAATGAGTATGTCAGATGAACGAAAGTAAGTAGTACCAACGTTCGTCGGTCATAGTTCGCGAAAGGTTCTTCTGACGTGACCTGTAATGGGATGTCCTCTGCGATAGCGAGAACTTGTATCTGTTTTTAATGAGATTGAGGTAATCTAGCATGTGATTAATCCTGTTTCCTTTATTTAAAGCATTAATTGTTTAGTGTTAAGCAAAGTTTATCTCTGCAGCTTTGTAATATGCACCTACCAGCCGACTCGCCTCCTATAAAATACTGGCTGCGTACTCGCGGGCAGATGACCACGGACTACGCTGATCACTGTGTCGGATTAACGTGACTTTTAATGAGTGATTTCGGTAATTCATTGCAAATTAGGTGTGTTGGAGTCGGGGTGCGAGACTGTCGGATTAACGGGTCTAAATAGCATTGATTTAATCGGTTCCTATCATTGGTGTCGGATAAAGCCGATTGTCGGATTAACGAGTGTCGGATTAATAAGACTTGACTGTAGATTATTAGACATTGGACCAAATCACATGTTACGTAATCAACTTCTGTATGCACAGCTGGTCAGCGACTCCCGTCTTTGAACTTACGTCGGGTCAACCGACCCGGAGTTACGAACTGAAGTTCTGGATTTTCGTTGACTATGTTGTTGTTGTTGTTGTTATTGTTGTTGTTGTTGTTGTTGGGGGTGGTGGTGGTGGTGGTGGTACGGTGGTGGTGGTGCTCTAAGTGTTTAAGAGGTCGCCTTCTAAGGTCGCAACTTCGGCTGACCTGTCCCTCTTTGGGGCTCATGTGTGTGGGTAGGGGACACATATCTATTGCGAGTTCGGGTATTGATATCATTTCTGTTTTTGTATCGATAAGAGTTATATTTTCGTATTGATATGATTTGATGTTTGATTTTTAGAAATTTATAGAATATTTTTGGCTGCTCTCTTTTTATACGTTCGAGTAGCTGACCAACTTTCATAAATAAATAAACGATGTGAACTATTGATAGATCCGGGCCCAATTTCTCAACTCAAAGTTTTTGCTATTAAATAACATTAAAAATAACACATTCTTTTTTGTTTGTC